CTACATAATTAAATTCTTATAATTATGTAATTACATTTGAATACTACAGCAAATTAAAAGTAACAACTTTTAAGGGTTAAAATAGCTTTTCCACCCAGTCTGGTTGTCTTCCTTCCAAACAGTTGTCCTCTCCAGGTGAAAGCAATTAATCAGCTCTGACGTGATTAATTCTAGTCTAGGTCTGCTTTCCCTTTTTGTTTACTCCAGGCAGGTAGAACTAGTGTTTGCCATTCTGCTCCTTAGATCAGTATGGAGAGGATATGGATTAAGTTGTGGCAGCCTAGCGCTAGAAGCCCTAGCTGATAACATCCAATGCTTATCCTTCAAACTCTCAATCGATCCTGCTTTGTTGCTGTTATTTCTTTTGCTCTCGCGAAGGCATATTTGTTTGCGACTGTCACACGCATGCGGCTTGAAAACGCAATTATCTGCCCATACAGGCCTCTTTCTCTGACTCTGATTAGTGATCTCGGTCCACGCCCACTGCTGTGACCCTGTGGTTCCCAGATCAGATCTTTAAGTTGTTTTTTTTTTTCTTCAGGATCAATCTTAGGCCTAGTCACCACCTGCTGTGGTCAAGAGTGGAGTAGTGCCCCTACCCTAAATGTACATACTTAAAAAGATGGTTCTTCAAGGATCCTTTAGAAAAGAAAATGGTTCTATATAGAACCATGAACACTCAAAAAACCCTTTGCATGATTAAAGGGTTCTTTGCATCATAAAACAGTTCTTCAGATTTAGATGATGGAGAATGTGCTGTAGGTGGCTCTACATAGAACCTAAAAAAAAGGGGTCTATATAGCACAAATGGTTACATGCTTGACATCGTAACAGAAGAACACTTTTTGGTGCTATACAGAACCCTTTTCAAAAAGGCTATATATAGAACCATATACAGCACATTGCAATAGTTTTTCAGACCATGTCATTCATCTGTTTATATTAACAACACAAGCACAGACTCAAAAAGATTGAATGTTTATGTCTTAAATGCAAAATGAACATCATACTGAAGAAGATATGATGACGATAGTAGATAATATTTAAGTGCTAATCATTTCCATAACATAGTATTACATGACTGTGTTTAATATAAAAGGGGAATTACTTTTCACCTTGCATTCTTGACTATCCATCCAGGTTTCACTTAAACGATCAAGGGAAGGTGGAAAGTTTTTCAAGAGAGTATCTGTATCTGTGAGTAGACAGTTTACCCCCCACAGAAATACATACTGGGGTCTAACTGCGGCTCATAAGCTTTCATAACAAATTGAATGTCTCTTTCCATCTGATCCTTTGGGAGAACATGCTTGCTATGGAGGTTCAGTATACTGGAATCTGAAGCACAACCCATGTTACAAAATGTTCTTCCGCATGTTGCATGCAGTTACACATTTACACCAGAGATGTCTCTAAAACATCAAAAATTACATGGTGTAGCTTTCAAGAATGTTCAGTAGATCTTCTTACGTCATTTACAACTAAGTATTATCTAAAAAAAAATGGAAAAAAGCATAGGCAAAATTCAGGCTTCAGGATAGCTGCTATTACTGACTCATTGTCTGTTAGACCGCATTTGCATTTTTCAACCTGTGGTTTCTTTCATGTTAATTTAATTTCATTATTTGTTTTAGATTGGTCAGTTGTGTTTTAGCTAATGATGGGGTGGGATTGGGGAAGCCTGAGCAATGGCTGACAAATTCCTCAACCCAAAATGATTTACTTTTTATTCAAGTTCCTCACTAGTTTGCCTATAAGGACATACCAGCATTGCATATGGGTCATGTGCCCGTTTTTATATATAACAGTATGTCACACAGCATCCAAAACCACATAACTGAAATTATGTAACAGCAATATGTAGTTTGAGGCAAGTGTGAGATGATTTAAGCATGCAGTTTGTACAGTGCTAACTGGTGAGGTTTAAGCTTCCATTGTTTGTTAGCTATATTAGCCTCATAGCTCCAAAGGAAAACTAAAGCAAGCTTTGGACACCAAACATGGCTAATCCACTACATTTGGGTTAAGGGAGAAATTGTTAAATCTGATTTTTTTTGCTGAACTATTTATTTAATATCTGTACTTAATACAATCAACACTGGGGCTTTGCAACAGCTAGCGACTGTTTATATTTGATATTTACTTAAACAGCAGGGAATCCCTTGCAGGCAAGTCTGTATTGATGTTGCAATTCTTACATTAAACTAATTGCAGTTTGTTGTATTACTGCACAAACTGTTTGATTCCAATATACTGAACCTCCATAACGAACAAACATGTTCTCCCTAAAGGTTCCGATGGGAAGAGAGATCAAGTTTCTTATCAAAGCCTACGAGCCGCAGGTCAAGCGATAAGACCCCAATATGTGTTTCTGTGGGGGAAACAGTCTCCTGAAAGACTCGCATAGTCTCTTGAAGGACTTCCCGCCTTTGATCGTTTAAGCGAAACCTGGATGGGGTAGTCAAGAACGCAAGGTGAAAAGTAATTTCCCTTTCATAATAAATGCTGTCACTTAATACAATGTTATGGAAAATGATTAGAGCTTAAGAACTGCAAATTACATCTGACAAGCCTCGAAGACAGTGGAAACCAGGGGGGCCCCGTGCCATCTTCTTGGGACCATAATGAATGGGGAAAATTGGAAGGCCCCCAGCCTGTGCAAATCCTGGCCGCGATTCGGCTGCCTGTTTATTGGCACTTAATGAAAAACAATTTATCTAAATCACTGCCTGGGGGGATTCGTAGTTAAAGCTCAGGGGAAAGAGGGGTGGGATGTTTGTCAGTGACAAATGTGGCGCCGTTTTTTCCAATTCAAATCCTGTTGAGGGAGGAAGAAAAGCGTGAGTGGAGTGCCGGGGCGAGAGAGAGAGAGGGAGAAACCAAGAGAGAGAGCCAAAGAGAGAGAGCAGGGGTCCTTTCGTCCAGAGTCTGGTTTCTGTATGTTAATTATTATTAAGGCTAGGTGTCAACTACGCCCATTTATGTTAGTTCATTGAGTAGTAGAGGTAGTGTTTTTTTATTCCAGTGGCCACTGAAACAGTTTGGTCCTCATTAGCCTGAGATATGTTGATTACTCCAGCAAGAAAGGCACTAATGCTACATATATCCAAAAGCAAAACGCAAAGCAGCTCTATTGTGCAAGTAATGATCCATAATGGAACTGTCGACTCCTTGGTTAAACTGCGGAGGATGCGCTTCTGTATTGTTGCTCTTGTTAGCTCTTTTTTTCCACATCTTCTCTGAGGTCTCTCTCTCTCCCAGTCTTTCTCAACTCTTTTCACTCTCTCCTTCAGAAAATCTGCATTCAAAATTGATGTTACAGAATCGAAAATGTGTCAATAATGTTGTCCATTTGCCCTCATCATGACAGATCTCTCCTTTCTGATTACACACACACCATCCAAAAAGCACAATTAACTAAAGCAGTCATTCCTCCAGCTGGAATAAGCCAAGCCCATTCTCTGTCAGCCGCGCTCATTAGATTTGATTCCGCGTGAAACTACCTTTCCTACAGGAGCCGTCATGGCGGCAACTCCCTTAACAAGCAGGTAGACATACTTAACCTTTAAATATCGCTGTGATCAGAGGCAGCCACGCAGTGAAACAAGTGGATTAGAGGCAGCCCACCTTGCCCCATAATACAACTCTGTTATGCAATCCCTGCTGTCAAAGTCCTCTGCTGATCTAGGAACAGTTATACTGCAGAAAACAGTTATACTACATACATCAGCAAGTGAAAACATTGTGACTAAAGGTGATATATCTATTTCTTATTATGGACTGGTTTCCTACACTCATATAAGCCTTAGAATGAATTAAAACACACATATATATATATATATATATATATATATATATATAAATATAAAAAACACTAACTTAAAAATAAATATACATAAATAATACAATACATTGTGATTGCATGTCTGTAGTGTTTTAGCTGAACCATTTCCAAATCTTTTACTGGAAGTCCAATATTTACAACTATCATCACATACCTGCTTCAGCTAATCACTCCTTCATTAAATTAAATTGGTAATTTGAATCAAAATATTTTATATGCAAATGAACTGTATGTTATTCTGTAAGTTGTTTTATAGTGAAAGCCCAATAACTACTTAAATCTAAAACCTAACACTGAATATTATTACAGTAGACTGTTAGCCTGTTAGCTAACCTCCCTATCACTGCAGACTTCAGCACGCTGCCTCCTTAAACACACCTGATTCAGCTCATTAGATCATTAGCAAGGTCTTCATGAACTGAATTCAGAGTGTTAGATGAGGGTAAACACTAATCTCCACAGGACTTTGGCCTGGAAGGTCCCCAGTTTGACATGCCTGACCTAAGTTTAATACATTTAATCCCTGAAATAAGTTTAAGTCTAATTTTGAAGTAATAGTGCAACAGGATTATGTTTAATTTAGATTTACAGTAAAAGTAATCCAGGATTAAAATGATTGTTTAAATCTAAATCTGATTTTTTTTTAATACTAAGTTTAAAGTTTGTAAATAAAACAAACAAATCAACCAGTAAACACTGATTTCAAAGTGTTGTTGCTGGACCACTGTTATTTTTAGTCTGTGTGGACAATTTGATCAGCCTTGAACTTTGCAGCACAGCGGCAAAACTGCATAGGCCTCATTAAGTGTAGTTTTACTGGGGAAGAGGGAGCAGCAGCCAGAGTGCAGAGAGTGAGTTCACCAAGGGGAAAAAAGCCAAATGGTGGAAACAAGAAAGATTGCATAATTATATTTATTTATAGAGAACTGTGAGCCATGGACAACTCTTAAAGCAGTGGGTGGCCAAATGTGACGTCTAGACTTTTTAAATGCTTTTTGGTGGTAATTGTCGCCAAACGTTAACTTCCACTTCCCCTGCTTATGGTTCTCGCTTCTTTCTTTTGTTGTTTTCATCTACTTGTTTTGCTGTTTTCTTCCCGCTTTACTCTTTTTGACTCTTTCTGTCTTGTTTTCCTCCTCCCCCTCTTCTCTGTTAGATAATGGTGTTGACTGACCCAGAGTTTGAAAGCAGCATCCTCATCAGCTCCGATGAAGGAGCCAGCTATCAGAAATATCGCCTCAGCTTCTACGTCCTGAGCCTGCTCTTCCACCCTTCCCAAGAGGACTGGGCACTGGCCTACAGCCATGACCAGAAGGTGAGTTATTTCACATTCAGCCCGGGGATTTTTTTTAAATTAAGGTTTAAATTAAACCTTAAAGGATACTTCACTCCCCACATGCTAATGTTGCTAACAATAAACAAAGCTTAGAGCGGGTTAGAAATATGCAATGAGATCAAGCTAATTGGTTCTCATTATCTTTCATTCCCTGATAACCACATGCTAATTGATTTCTACTAGCTCTCATTCCTCTCTGGCCACATGCTAATTGGTTGCAATTCGCTTTCATTTATTGCTAGCCACATGCTAATTGATTTCTGCTAGTTATCATTCCTCGCTAGCTACATTCTAATTGGTTCCAATTAGCTTTCATCCATTGCTAGCCACACTCTCATTGATTTTTACTAGCTTTCATTCCTGACTAGCCACTTGCTAATTGGTTCCCATTAGCTTTAATTCTTTTTATTTTCATCCTTTTACTCCTTGCTGGCATTTTTGGATGAATTCGTCCTTTAATTCAGCGCTTTTTAGATTTGTCACTTATAAGGTCTGGTATCTTGTTGTTGCCTTAAACTTTTCACTCATATACCATGCAAAGGTAATATACTGTCACTATCATATCAGAATCTTGTGACTTATTTTTTCACATTTTTAAAATATTTTACACTATTTGAAAAAAGCTGCTCTTACCTGCTTCAACATTTCCAGATGCATGGACCTATGGAAATGATCCAAAATAACTTGGAATAAAATCTTATTAACATGCATGTTAAAAACATGATTTCCTTTTGGTAAAGAGGATGTTGTTGTGACAGTGAGTGCATTTACATGCACTCAATAATCCGATCATAACTGGATTTCTGCAGTTATCTGAATATTCAAATGACCATGTCAACAGCATATGCTGATTTCTTAGATCAGAGTGAGGTCTAGAAATTTGATGAAGAAATCTGATAAATAGAGCTGGATTTTAGCTCAGTAATCAGATTTCTCAGCATGTAAACTCTTACTCAGATTTCTTTCGGATTTCTCAGTCTGCGCAAAAACAGATGGCGGTACAGGAAATAAGCAAGCAGCCTTGCCGTAAGATGGCAGCAAAACACTTTTGGAGTGACAATGAAACCAACCACACGCTTCACTAAATAAAGGATTTAAATATTTTTCATCTTCTAGATGAGGTATGTTCATATTTTTAGGTAAAGTGATGATGTTTTTTTTTAAAAAAAAAGCTGCGGCATGAAGTTTGAGTTTTACATTACGTTTACATCACTTCTTCTTTTGGATGTTTACTGGCTGGTTGCAAAGCAGAAATATGATTACTGCCTGACTTGTGTAGACCCAAAGTTTTCCCATTATCTGATAACCAAAGTGCAGGTAAACGTGTTGATCGGATTACTGACAAAATCTGATTTTCTGCAGTTATTGGATTAATAAGGGCATGTAAATGCACTCATTGACCGTAAGCTATAAAAAGAAAATTGTCAAAGTGCCATATTTGTCAGTGTCAGAAAAAAAATGTATAATTTCAAATTTTTTTACTACATAATTTAAAAATGCCAGCTGTCATTTACAGAAGCATGGCCACAGGCCTACCCAATCAAATGGAGAAAGAATATTTATTAAGCAGCATTTTTAAGATAATATTTTATTTGTTTTCTTTGAGTCATTACACTCTCTGCCAAGCTCCACCTTATTTTCCCAGCCCTCCAATCCACTGCTTAGCAACTGTTGCTATCTGCCATTGCCTCAAGCCTGAAGTTTGTTATCAGCTTGCCAGTGTTTTAATTTGAAGCTCAAGTTGCAGCCCAAATGTGTAACTGGGGATGTTTAAAAGTGAGATGCATGTAGAGAATGAATAAGCTATAGCTTGATATCATGACATTGAGGCACATAGCATGTTTTATTGTATCTGCCTTGTTGGCCTACCCAAAAACTTAATTCTGCCTACAGCACTGGCTGTTTATACTGTGTTAAAATGACAAATGACAAATAGAAACAGTCCACAATTACTTTTTATGCTTTTTCCTTAGAAAGTTTTCTTTACAATGACTGCATGTTTGTTCTTTATTCATGTTTGTCAGTGGTCTTGATTTTGCAGAGATATATCTACACTTGCAGCCAGTGTGGGCCTAAGGAATTATGTATTTATGTATTCTGTATGTATTCACAGGCAACTCTAAACATATCCCACTCAGTAATACTACTGTAACCCCTCTGCTCGTAAACTGAGTCAACTCAAATCTATATCAATATTTCACTTCACTGTTGACCGACCCTGCAGGAATGGCACCTTACCAAAGGCTAGGGTGAGAGTGTGCGTGCACTTATGTGTGAGATAGGGAGAGAGAGATGGTGTTGTAGGATCTGTGCAGGATGAAAGATAACAAGATAAAAGATTGTGAAAGAGGAAGGAGTGTGTGGGTGCAGGTGTGGAAGTTTGCATGTGCGGCAATGAAAGTGTGCAGCTAAACCCATACTGTCTTCAGGCACTGAAGTGTGTGTCCAAACTTTCAGCAAACTCAAAGGAAATAAGGCATTGTACCAGAGACTTCCCTTCATTTCTTTCATTTCCAGTCAATACAGCCATCAAATACAAGGTATTTTACATTTTCTGAAGATCAGATATAAGAAAATCCACTTGTGTAAGGAAAGAGAAGTTTGATTAATTTTCTGTTAAATACATGTTTTCTACTTTTTCATGCTGTAAAATCAGCTTGTACTTAAAGGCTGTTTTAACTGTAAATTAAATATTTTTTACCTATGCTTTTAAAAATGCATGTCAGTATAATTTTGACGTGTTTTAAACATTTCTGACATAGATGTAAATTAAGAAATGTGAAAACAGTTGCTCTCATACTGTTTCATCTACGTCACTTAAACAGAAAGACTTGACTGCACAAAGTGCCAAATATTGTTTTGGAACAGTGAAAAAAAGTGAATAGTGCATCTTAAATATATTGAACTATATTAACAATATACTGTGTGATGAGATACAGTATTTGTATTGTAGCGTGTTTAGGGAGGGCAATTATGGTTTCTGGGGGTGTGGTCTGCTGGGCCCTCTTCTTGTGAAGAGCGGCTTTGGGAGCCATTCTGGGGGCTTTTTCTTCCACACAGGCAGAACTGAGAGGAGAGAGCTAGGAGTCCTTCAGTGGTGAGGGCACGCTGCGGGCTCTTAACTGTTTTTTGGGTGGAGGCCCTACATAGAGCTAGCTTTTAGCATTCCAACCAAGTATGAGGCAAGCTGTGGCTAAATACGGCCCCAAAAAAAGCACAAAATTTGTAAATAGTTGTGTTCATCCTTCTTCACTCTCAGAAATAAAGGTAGTAAACTGTCACTGGGGCAGTACCCCTCTTGTCACTGGGGTGGTACCCTAAGGGGTACATCTCAGTACCTTTAGTGAGGGAACATAATTGTTCCATAATAAGTTATATTGACTCCACACACCCCGTCTCGCCTCCAGGCTTTTTATTTTACTATTCTGTTTTAAAACATTAGGTTATGAAAAGGTACAAACACATACTTTTTACCTGGAAAAAACTTATTGAAGGTACACAACTGGATTTCTAACAATGTAGTAGCGAGAACGCTACAATATACTTGGAACTGCAGCGCTAAGACATCACATATATTGCAAATATTTGGGACATGAGGAAATGTACACTATATTGCCAAAAGTATTCACTCACCCATCCAAATCATTGAATTCAGGTGTTCCAATCACTTCCATGGCCACAGGTGTATAAAACCAAGCACCTAGGCATGCAGACTGCTTCTACAAACATTTGTGAAAGAATGGGTCGCTCTCAGGAGCTCAGTGAATTCCAGCGTGGTACCGTGATAGGATGCCACCTGTGCAACAAGTCCAGTCGTGTTCTCTGGAGTGACGAATCACGCTTCTCTGTCTGGCAATCCGATGGACGAGCCTGGGTTTGGCGGTTGCCAGGAGAACGGTACTTGTCTGACTGCACTGTGCCAAGTGTAAAGTTTGGTGGAGGGGGGATTATGGTGTGGGGTTGTTTCTCAGGAGTTGGGCTCGGCTCCTTAGTTCCAGTGAAAGGAACTCTTAATGCTTCAGCATAACAAGAAATTTTGGACAATTTCATGCTCCCAACTTTGTGGGAACAGTTTGGTGATGGCCCCTTCCTGTTCCAACATGACTGCGCACCAGTGCACAAAGCAAGGTCCATAAAGACATGGATGAGCGAGTTTGGTGTGGAAGAACTTGAATGGCCTGCACAGAGTCCTGACCTCAACCCGATAGAACACCTTTGGGATGAATTAGAGCGGAGACTGTGAGCCAGGCCTTCTCGTCCAACATCAGTGTCTGACCTCACAAATGCGCTTCTGGAAGAATGGCCAAAAATTCCCATAAACACACTCCTAAACCTTGTGGAAAGCCTTCCCAGAAGAGTTGAAGCTGCTAGAGCTGCAAATGGTGGGCCAACATCACATTAAACCCTATGGATTAAGAATGGGATGTCACTAAAGTTCATATGCGTGTGAAGGCAGATGAGCGAATACTTTTGGCAATATAATGTGTACACATATACTTCTTTTGGGATTTTGGTGCTTAGACACCATATATGTTGATTGATACTGCACATATATTTCAGATATGAGGAAATATATGTACATATTTTTGCCTTTGTTTGGATTTGTGGTGCTGAAATACCATAGATGTTGAGTGATATTGTATGTATATTTTGCATGAGAGGAAATACATGTTAACATATATATTTGTTTTTCTGTGTGGTCTTGCATCCCCTCTTGCAACCCTGAAGCCACATTCATACCCTGGTCACACCGCCAGCTTCTACTGGCTATCCCCTTACCTCCTGCTGCATTTCAAACTCAATGGTCTGACCTCTCTCCTGGGGTCACTGCTTCCCCACCTCGGCTTGTAAAAGACAGCGGATGAAAAACACTCAGGTGCTGCCTGACCCTGCCATCATTCATAATACTGGAAATACATCCCTAGGGAAAGAGGAAGTGAGAGAGAGATGTCTCTGTGTTTGGCTGGTACTTGCACTAA